TTTTTGGTTTCCATTTTGCCAAGAGCGACCTATGGTCCCATTTTGAAATATCCAAGTTTCATCGAGGAAGACAAACTGGTATAAGGCCTCAACCTTGGCTTGATTGTATTGCCTTAGAAATTCCACCCTTTTCAAAGCTATACTTGGTAGTTCCATGAGCCCTCGTCGCGGATTGTCCTTAAGCCACTTAAATCCAAGATCTCTAAGCAACCGCCTTAAAGACGTGGCACTACCATCAAATAATGCCCTATCTCTTAATCGAGACCATAAAGTTTGTATCGTAACTTGTTCTTCTGAAACCATGTGTAATATGACATTATAATTTAGTTAACAAATTAATGCAAATTTCTGATAAGTTATTACAATAAGATCTTACTTTTGTGATACATATTATAGATCACTTCTCGAATGGCACTTGTATCCAATGTTGCTGTGTTGGTTACACGTTTAATATAACTCCGCTTTTTCTTGGGCGATTCTAAATTTGCATCACTTTTCACACCCTCGGAAATACGACTAACTGTCCTTAAACTAATTTTTAAAGCAGCAGCAACACGCTACAAAAAATGAAATAAAATTTCACTATTATTAATGTACATTACATATAATTATTAGTAACCTACCTCTTGAACAGCATTTAAAGGCAACAAAGGCCCGTTGTTGTCCCTTTCTTGCTCAAAGTAGTGCATTAACGAGGCCACGAGTTCCTTACACCGACTATTTAACTGTTTGGGCATCTTTATATACCAAAATTGCCTTTATCTACTCGTAAAATGAATAATTTTGTTTTGAAACAAACAGTTGTTGATTTACAGTATGCGGGGCCAAAGAATTTATAAAGATTTGAAATGCCACAAATTGATTCAGTGTCAAAATTAATACAAATGTCAGTTCCCAGTTTAAATAAGTTTCAAGGTGACAATGTGTCAACGCTGCGAAATCGGTTTAGTGCGTTTACATGTCGATAAGTGATTGGAGCGTTTGCAAAACATTTTATTTCGCATAATGCGTATAAATTTATCAGAAAGCAACTTATGTGATATTTTAATAACAATGTTTATATGACTATTAACCATAATAAGAGAGTAATGACCATTTTACAATTTATATATCACATTAACATGAAACTGCAATAGAGCAATTGTTTGTGATAGAAACCTAGGCATTAGGTCGGGGAATTTTTATCGTGATGACGTGCACGCCACTTTGTTTGGCGTTGACCATAGGTTTACATTTAACAATCCGTTATCCCCAACAGCGAATGGGAATACGGAAAATAATAGGTCGAGTTTCTAGCTGTTAAATTTGGCAGCAGATTTGGACGTTTGTTAATGCATGACACTCTCGAATTTACCAACTTCAATATACTGAAAGTTATCATTACATACCTGTTGAATAGTGTGGATTTGTCTGTATTTTGCAAGAAAATAGAATATAAAATACGTTCCATCCAATTCCTCATCTTCCTTTACGTCATAATAGTAATAATTTATTAATTTATGAGGTAATGAATTTCATCAAAGCAATAAAAAGAATTATGTCCTCTCCATCTTAAAACACAGATGACATGTGTAAGACGTGTCAATCCCTACATCTCTCTGAGGCATAATGCAATCACTATGGACATAGACAAAAAATGATGAAAAATGTTTCACAAATAATGTTTTTTGAGTCCAAAAATCATAAAAACCAGTAATGTTTATTGTTTGTCTTTTTTTGACTGGCGGGGACATCTATCTGTCACTCGCAGGGTTGTCAAGTCTAACGACGATCACGTCCCGGGGTGGAGGGTGCGAAATGAATCTTTTACATTTGCAAGCTTTGAATTTTTTTCGTGAAAATTTACTAGATATCATGAATATAAGCATCTTTGATAGATTGCTCGATCCGGAATGGGAAAGATCTCCTATTTATGAAAATATTTTTGGTATCATCTAACCGTTGCAATCAGTGCACAAACACTGTGACATATGATTTACAGCATAACCCGCTGCCCTATCAATACAAATTTAACATATAGGTCGCCTAGCCGTGGGGATGCAGTAGTCGGGATGAATATCACGGCAGCAACTGATGATTTGGGCATTTCTGGTAATAACGTATGAAGTGAAACTCGCTAACTTGACGAAAGATATGTCTGATTTGGCAGGGTAATGTCGCAGCCAGATGGCAGTCACTCTTTCTGACACAGTCCGGATCGAAAGATGACGATACTCGTGAAATGTATTGATACTTCTAAATATAGGATCGTATCGAACATACCTACTGTCAATATCTATAACCCGAGGTACCTACGGAGCTATTTGGGGCGTCATGGAAATAATTTTAAATTTTCATTTGCATTTTTTCAAGTGTTGTGCAATGATTTTGGGGAAAATGTCACGAATAGTCTTATAAAGCAAAGTAGGGGATATTTCAACAGTTGGCGGAACTTACTCCATTGGGACCAGGAGGGTGAAACCGGATATTAATGCACAATCTGGCAATCCTGTCACACCCTCACAAAATGGCCGCTGACAACCACACAGGTCACCGTGTTGTCATTGAAGAGCATGGAATTAAACTTTCAGAGTATATGTTTTGTGACTGGTACCAAGAGTTGACACATCCCATACATGTGTCACTCCTTGAAATGCAATAATTAGCTGTATTTAAATAATGTCTAATATAAATATAACCTAGAATGTGTACTCGTGATAAAAGAAAAATATGGCAAATTTGTAGTTTTTTTTGCAGGTTTTAGGTTTGCTGGTAGCTTTAAGGCATATATTTGGGAATTTCTTAATCGCTGTGAATATAGTGTGGATGTTTGTTCAGTTACTGAACAACGAAAAATATTCAACTTTATGGATGTAAGGATATCAAAAAACCTGAATGGTTTTGTGGGAATATCAATCTAAGGTGCCATAATGGTTCTGATGAACGGCAAGTAAATGAATGAATGTTTGGAAACGAGCAATATCTTTTGGTAGAGCCTATCATCAAGTAGGTGCTTAATGGCTATCTGCAAGAGGTTTATAGGAAAAAACACCCAGTATCGCATATCAATTGAAAAAAATAATATAAACATGAATAAAAAATCAACAATAGTAATTAAAACATGAATTTTATTCAAAAATCCAACATTTCTTTAAATTTTGACTGAATTATATGTAACTTCTGAATATTCAATAAGCTGGTGATGTTTCAATGACAAGCTGTCATCTCATACTTTGACAGTATTTTGTTTTCAACATTTTATAGCTATTGGTTGCTAAAAGTTGTCGATTGGAACTTGAAGCTCATTCGTTGTATTTGACGGTCTGTTACCCTATAGGTGGAGAATAACGGACTGTTGTTGGTGAAATTTGCCCTTAGTAAACCATTTGTGGTAGATTTTCCTGCTACAAAACCGTATTGATTTGGACTTAGAATTTTGAATTTATCAAAGAAATTTGGTCGATAATTGGTAGGGTCCATATTATCGCCTGTTTTGTAGACAGGAATGATAACAGCTGGAAGGAAATATTTCAGCCCGTAAGCATTTATTTATATCATATGCAAATGGTTTTGATATTTGCTTGGTCATCGATTTGAGATGCTGAGCTCTTATTTCATCAGATCCTGTCAAAGACATAATAATAGCATTAAAAACTTCTTGAGCATCGATTTCGGCCAGGGCGAGAGAGCTACTAATCTTTTTTCACGAAACTTAAATCTAAATCTATTATCATTCCTTTTAATGGTATACAAGGTGATTCATAGGTCGTGACCAAAAATGAAACATCATACACAGGACCGGATTTTAGGGGGAGTCTTCTATGTAAATTTTTTTTCCCGAGCGCTTCATTAACTGGGTCAAAATCACCAAGGTGGCAAATTCTAAATTCTATTTCATAAAAAAAATAACTGGCAACGATTACTTTGATGATTATCTAGAATGATCACTAGACTTGTGTTTAAACAATATTTACGTTGGCAGAGCATAGAATTAATTATTATTGTTGTCATTTGATTTTTAAATTGAGCTACCTCTGAAAAGAGTCATTATGGGAACGTTTTTGTGACATTCATTTTAAAATTTAAATATAACTTAAGTATTTCTTCTTTACTCTGTTCAGTAGCGGAAGTATGTGAAAAATAGTAGGAAATAAAAAAATTCTAACAAAATTGCAAAAACAAATATTTAAAAGCAAAATATCGTTACAAATGGAGCCATCTGACTATTTCTTTGTATTAAATTATCTAAATATGCTTATATTGCTGATTTATATATAAATGAGTAAGTTGTACGCATTAAAAGTTGGCCTAGTTTTTATATTACTAGGGCCTTTTTCAGAATATTCAAAATAATAATGTTTTATCCATGATTTAGTGATGTTCCCGGAAATGATCAGGCCTTCACGGAATGATGAATGTGTTCTCGAAATGACGGTACACATAAAATCCATGTTAGACGATGAAAAAAGAAATTTTTGGATAGCATACTTATTTATGTACTTGGCAGAAGGTTTATCCTTAACAAAAATATAACTTAAATCACATTTTTCCAGTCTTACAATCAACCAAGCAAAGATTTTTCATAATCATATTCAAGTTTAATCTTGTTGGTAATAAATAATAATCAAATCATCTAAACATGTTACTTATAGATAGTTCAACAGTAAAAGCAAATTAAACTTTTAAACAAAAACAAGTTCCTATAACCATATTAATTAAACACGTAAACATATATTATTTATAGATGTAAACATGTTACTAAAAGGTATTTCTATAGTAAATTCAAATTAAACTTTTGAACAAAAATAAGCTTTCTTAATCATACAATAATCAAACACGTGGATATATACTATATAAAAATTAGAATTGTTCATAAACATCAATGTCAGTATCAAAGTAATAATATTCTCGATTATTTTCTTTTTTAGTAATGGCATTGGAATAATACTAATTATTTGCTCAAATGCAATGTAGGATACGTCACTCAAATTTAATTTGAATTTTTTGGCACTATTACATACCGACTTTAAGTAAGTGACTAGGATTTCTCCATCATCTTTATCGACACCTGTCTTACAGGTGGCAACATATCTGTAATTGACAGTTTTGTTTTGTGTAGGTACTCTAATTAATACAAATGTTCCAGGGGATATCAAATTTGGGTGTAGGTTTTCCTTGCCTTCAATGTAAGATGTACCAGCTTCAACAGTAACTGACTTTTGCGCAGTCTGTTGACGGACAGAAATCGACATTAAATCATCATCATCGGATGATGATGAATAATAAATGTTTTTATAGATACTCCGTTTCTTTGATTTCTGTAGATCTTGTATATCCATCGACTCGTTCGGTTGAGGAGACTTCCTTGACAGTATTCCCATATTTATTGGTTCAAACTTCGGATATAAGCTGCAAGATAATGTAGACATTTTTAGTTGCTTTTCAAAACGTTCGTGTCGGTACAGTTTGATTGTAACGTCTGGTCCTCTTTGCCATGTAATCCTTGTAATATTCATGATACCTGGTATAGCATCTAATGTTTTCGGAACTAAATCTTTTGCGCTAGAAATGTCTTCATCAGGAATCTCTTTTACTAAAATAGTAGAATCCGTGAATAAATTTAGTAAGTCTGAGGCTGTTTGAATATCTCGTCCCATTAAAACATGCCTGTCGGCAATCCGTTTAAGAGCACCACCTACGCCATCCATAGGTCCTTTGCCATGCCCAGGTTCACTGTACGTCCAAGAAGATTTGGTTATCTGCTTGAATTCAGTTATTAATGTTTGTAACCAGAGATGTATATTAGTTCGATTGCGATATTGGGATGTTGGACCATCAGAGTAGATATGAAGGGCGTTAATATCTTTTTTTTCCAATACCGTTCGTAGGATCGGTTTCATGTGAGCCCATATCGCATGAGCTTGATGATCCAAGTTTTCGCTTACGGTAGCAAAAGATTTAGATTGTAAAATATTGTCAACGTTCCGTATATAATAGACGCCTGTATGAATAGACAATTGTTTTTTTGCAAAATGAGTCGACTGGATTTCGCTTGCGTATTTACTTGTGTAATTCTCCGAAAAGTCTATCTGTATCAAAATCTCTTCTTCAGTTAAATTTTCTTTCAACTCTTTTTTCAATTTGTTGTATTTATAAATGCCGTATAAATGTTTTTTCATAACTGGAATGTCTTGAATAAAAGATATTTCTAATTCTTTGACTGTACTTGAAATTGTAACTTTTTTCGTGATCTTGAACTTCTTATTCTGGCCCTTTACAATTTTTTCTTCAATAACAGACTTCCATTGGAAATATTTAACAGAATCTGTATTATCAGTTGGCTCAAGCGTAGGATTGTTGCATTTATCACATATACCATTCATGCAGTCATAAGAAGTTATGTCGCAACTATACTCCTCGATATTTTTCTCTACACTCCCTTGAGCAATTTGGTGTAAGCTTTTTAATTTTTTCAGCTTGAATTCATAATTTTCGTGTTTGACACACAAACAAGTTTGTCTGTCTCTTAATTTTGGAAATACCACCCAAAATGGTTTTGCTCTTAATAATGTCGTATAAGACAAGTTTATTCCAGTTTCGCTAACGAATTTTGACATCAGTTCTTTAACAGGAAGTAAAAGGATGCGTTTTTGTTTCTTAATGCCGTTTTTTTTTTCACAAAATCTCTCTTAGCTGGGCACATCCTACTGATATCGTCACTCTGGAAGAAATCTTCAACTTTTTGACGAATATCGTGCTTCAACACAACCTCACGAATTTTGGTATCCGACTTCAAAATCGATGTACTGGTTCTTTCTTTTGGCAAAAAAGTCTTAACCATATGAAGCAATTTGTATTTCCTTACCAAATCACCGCTGACACATTTTTGGAAGACTTCATTCTCTTTAGAGTTTTTTTTCAAACTACCAGCTTTTTCTTTTAAATGCGTAGTCAGTACTTCGTTAAATAAAAGATTCTTGCGCACCTCAGGAGGGACGTCAACATTTTTTATCAATGCGTCAACCTTGCTGTTAGGAGTTGTTGGTGGCTGAGATTTCTCCTGTTCTCTATTTTCTTTTCTTCTTAGTTTTTTATTCAAGGTTTCATATTTACGTGTAATTTTAGCAATTGTTTTCTCCTGTTGTTTGATTTTACTATATGCTTTGGCTCTGTCCTTCCGCACAATTTTTCTACCCACTGTTTTTCTTACTGAAGGTGTTGCAGCTAACTCATCATCGGAATGTGGCGGAGTATTGTTTAGTATAGTTGATAATGTCTTTTTCTTTTCTCTGTATTTCTTTGACGCTTCTTTCCAAATTTTTCTTTGCTTTCGCTTTTCTCTTTCAGTCATCTCAGCAATGTTTTTAACTTTCTTCTCAGTTTTCTTTTTCCGATAGTATGCTCTATCCTTAGCCCTTTTGATCTCTATCTCTTCCTCTGTCATCTTATCTAAGAATTTCTTTTTTCTTGCATTGGCTTTTTCTCGTTGGCGCAAGTAAGCTGAACTATTTTTTTTAAGTTGCTTCATAGAAAGTTTTCTTTTTGTTGTAGCGTCCTGGGACTCCATATTGCTAGAAAAAAACCATGTGTTAAAACTATTTAAGCGCACCATGCACTACATTAATTAAGCAATAGTTATAACATAAACTACTCGGGTAATTAAATAGTCATCTCGAGAACGTCATCATCATTTCGGGAACGCTCCGTCAAGTCCGGCAGCGTTCCCAAAATGACTGTTCCCGGAATGACTTTTTCAAATAAACGCGCCCTTTTTAGCCAGCGGCCATCTTTGGCGTCATGTTTGGCTTGGTTAATGTGAAATATTTCAGGTTAGTGTTTGTCATAAAGACTATGAAACGCATTTTTTCAATATTCCAAGTTAACAAACGTATTCCCGGAATGATGACCTATTGATGTACGCTCTGTGGATAATAAATAGAAACGTACTTACCACCTATTGCCAATTATTTTGCCGGAAAGATCTTTTGATGGCCACTTTGTTTACATGTTCCACTACACTGTACCATAGACATTTAGAGGCTGCGTTCAACAACACGATTCTTCAGGGTAATCAGAGCTGCGTTCACTCAAATGACGCTAACATTACCGGACATAATATTTTGTCTTGAGTTTCTTATAATTCTTTTTTTTCTTTAATAATGCATATAATTCCTGATGTCAGATAAAATTGAAGGCTAATAAATAACAAAAACTCCTAGATTAATTCCATTTTATGGATATTTGTGGTGTTAGTTTATAAAAAATGGTACTTAGGACACGTTCTCGAAATGATTTTTGCACTTATTTGGTCAAATAATCATGAACATGGTTTACTTTTGAAGTATAAAAATAGTATGTACTGTTAATATGATTACACATCTATAAGTATCGACAATAAATATTTTAAAAAAATAACGAATTTAGGCATTAGCTAGCTACGGAAGCTAATTTTCCACCTTGGTGGTTTTGACCCATCTAGTTGTTGAAGTTTAAAAGTAAAAAACATTTTTTTAACATCAAACCGTCAACTGGAATGAACTAGAATTTGGTATGTGGATTTACCTAAGTATTGTCCGCATTCAAAAGTTTTTACTTAAAATTAACGTGCACCAGTGGCGGAGATACAGGGGATTAGTTTCATTATTTTCCAAACAAAAATAGTACGCCGCTGTTTCTTTTCGAAACGAACATTTTACAAACAATTAGTTTCAAAATAAAATAGGAGGCCTTCCTAACAGACGCCAACCAACTCCAATGGTATTTTATGATCATTTCTGAGACTTCGACAATATGGCATTGCCAAAGTTTCTGTAGCTAGAGGCCATGGTGTCCGGCATACTGTTGAAGTGGAACTGGATGTAATTTGGCGTTGGATGATCCTAGTTCAAGTACTAGGCGGATTGCAGCCCAGTAACCATATTCTTAAAGTCTTGCGTGGAGAATTTTAAATCGGAAAGTTTTACATCCTTGCCATGGGCAAAATGTGCAATGTCTACAAGCCGGCGACGAAGTGCAATGGCGAAATTTTTGTGAGTATTTACTGCAAATGCATAATCAAAATGCAGATTTTTGATGATTGGGTTTTGTGGTCAGATGAATCGCTTTTTATGAGGAGTGGGACCTTCAATTCTGATAATGAACATATTTGGTCGTTAGAAAATCCCTTTTTTGTAAGAATCGACTCGTTTCAATACAGATTTACTAGAAATGCCTGGTGCGGCATTTTGAAAGGCCAACTGTATTGCCCCAACGTTAAAATGCAAACACATACTTAGCTTTTCTAGAGAACTACATAGAAAATGTGTTAGATGCTGTTCCGTTAGCAACGAGAGTACGAGTGTGGTATCAGGTCAACGGTCCCCACCGCATGTTCGTCGTGACATAACCGCATGCTTAAATAAGCATTTTAGACAACGATGGATAGGCAGAAACGGACCCGTACATTGGCCTGCGTGGTCTCCTGATTTGAACCCCCTGGATTTCCTTTCGCGGCGCTTTTAAGGAAAAATACACAAGGGTAATTATTTGTAGCAAGTTGAAGGTAAAATTTGCGCGTTTAAAAAGAAAACACTGGCGTACTATTTTTTTACTTGAAAATTAATGCCACTAATCCCCTGTATCTCCGCCACTGGTTCACATTAATTTTAAGTAAAGATTTTGAATGTGGACAATAATTAGGTAAATCCACATACTAAATTTTAGTACATTTCAGTTGATGGCTTTGAAGATATTAAGAGAAAAAATCTTAAATAGAAGACCCCCCTTAAATTGCGGTCCTGTATATGATGTTTCATTTCTGGTCACGACTTGTGAATCACCATGTATAGAACATCATAATAAACCACCTAGCTAACTTAAAAGTAAAAAATAATAGATCGTATTTTGTACGTTTGGCTTCTGTGTACATTTTTCTTAATATTTTCATTCATCATTCGTTTACTTTTATGGGTCTAGGTGACACTTGCTGACTTGATCAACGTCAACACTAAAGAGAGAATGGATCTGATGAGAGAGAAAATAGATGAACTAAAAGTTCTGGTGCGTCAAAATATTAAAGGACTGGAGAGGTTCAAGCAGATTATGCAAGCGATAAGCACCATCCAAAAAGGCAACGTTTCGGCAGAACTGGACTTCATCAACTTCAAAGAAACCTACGCTATTCTGCGTCAGCACGAGATGGATTTTCCGCCAGAAAATGAGGCGATGGCCCATCAACTTGAGAAGGATTGGAACGAACTTCTTATATCGGCATTATACAGAGAACAAACGTTGGAATCCACAAAAGAAAGATTTGCTCAGCTCACTCTGAATGAAATTCAGACTTTCTGCAACTATCTTGCTGAATTTATTGAAAAGTAAGTCCAACAACTTATACAGGGTGTTTCAGTTTATTGTTGCATAACTTTAAGGTTCGATAGAACTTTTAAAATTAATGCATAAAGTCTATATAAACATGGGTCGAAAAATGCGTGGTTTCCGAAATACAGGGTGTTTAAATTTACTTTTTAAAATAGTTTTTTTAAAATATTTCGAACAATATTTAATGTATAACAGTGAAAATTGGTATACAAGGGTTTTTTGGTACGGCAAAACGAACCATGGGCATAGTTTTACTATAGCCGCTAGAGGGCGCTATCTACTGTACCTGTAGTGTATTGAAATGACCGAAAATTTTTTCTTAGTGCAGTTTTTTACTTTTTGAATAAAAAAACTGATTCTTCGCACTTTTCTGCATAAAAAAGCTCTCTTGTGAGTTTTTGTTACAGTTAGCCGTTTGTGAGATATTTAGATTTTTAAGGTTCGATGCATTTTTAACTATTTATGATAAAATAACGTTAAAAAGTCAGTATCTCGATAGTGTTTAGAAGTAGGCTGTGCCTGCAAATATATTTGAAATTGAAAGCAGAATAAGGTTAAACGTCAATTATTTGACAGTTAGTCTTGTTGTCTGTTAAAACCTGAAACGTTTTACTGCAATTGTGAATGCACGAAATTTAGTTTCTTTTACCTGTGTTTTTTTTGTAAGTTTTACAAAAATGCCATTTTTATTCTCCAATCAAGAGTTAGCGGATATTCATTTTGTGTATGGCTTTGTAAATGGAAACGCACCAGAAGCAGCCAGAGAATACGCACGAAGATTTCCAAACAGACGACAACCAACCAGCTCATTATTTGTAAGAGTGCATCGCCAAATAATTGAAAATGGTTTTGGAAATCCCCAAAGGGATCAAAGGATAAATGTTCGTCAGCGCAGATTTACCCGTATGATTCTGCGTGAGTTTGATAGAGATCCGACCACAAGTCTTACGAGAGTTTCTGGTGCCTTGGGAATTTCAGCAAGCCATGTTCAACGTGTTCTTAGAAATGACCATAGACGTCCTTACCATTTGCAACCTGTGCAAGGACTACAGAAAGGGAACGGAGAACGAAGAATCACATTTTGTGAGTGGATTCTTGATAGAACTGATAATAATAGGGAGTTTTTAAGTAACGTTTTATGGATCGATGAGTCACTGGACGTGGAGTGGTAAATTTTCATAATCAACATATTTGGTTGCATGAAAATCCGCATGCAGTTCGGGAAAGAAATTTTCAGCATGAATTTAGTGTGAACGTGTGGATTGGTATCTACCGTAATTGACTATTTGGACCCTACCTTTTGCCTGCAAGGTTAAATGCTGCGACCTTCTTGGAATTTTTAAAGGCTGAACATGCAAGTATGTGGGATGATGTTATGTTAGATTTAAGAAGATTGGCCTGGTTCCAGCTTGATGGTTGTCCAGCTTATTATTCGAGAATAGTTAGAAACTGGCTGGACGAAAATTATCCAGAAAGATGGATCGGCCGTGGAGGACCAGTCGCCTGGCCTCCACGATCCCCTGACCTAAATCCATTAGATTTCTTTGTGTGGGGATTTCTAAAAGAAAAAGTGTACCAGACTCCCGTAACCACAAGAGATATGCTAATAGACAGATTCAGGAATGCATGTGATGAAATAAGGCCTTATTTGTATAATGCTATACCACGTTCGATCATTCGTAGATGTGAATTGTGTATTGAACAATTGGATTTACATTTCGAGCAACTACTTTAGATTTTGTATGTTTGTCCTAACTATCCAATAGCATTTTAGTTTTAAATAATTAATTTAATTTGTTAAAAATAATATTGGAAAATTAAACAAATTAATATTGTTTTTTGTGTTTATTTGGAGTTAGGAATTAATGCTGTGTTTAAAAACACAATCTAAACGATCATCTTAATTACTTGTAATGCCCAAATCGAAAATGTAAAAAAAATATTATTTTCCCATAAATAATTAAAAATGCATCGAACCTTAAAAATCGAAATATCTCAAAAACGGCTAACTATAACGAAAACTCACAGGAGAGCTTTTTATGTTGAAAAGTGCGAAGAATCAGTTTTTTCATTCAAAAAGCAAAAAATTGCAGCAAGAAAAAATTGTTGGTCATTTTAATACACTACAGGTACAGTAGAGAGCGCCCTCTAGCGGCTACAGTAAAACTATGCCCATGTTTCGTTTAGTCGTACCAAAAAACCCTTGTATACC